TTATCAGCTGCAGGTGAATCATTTGTTACAAAGTTGAATCCACAGCTGGATGGTATTTCACTGTAAAAGCCTGACCAGTTTGCTAAAGTCAAAATATATTTCTGTCATATTAAGTTTGTTTTAAGAAGATTTTTCAGTTTTACAGCAGGATAATTGCAGCAGTGACATTTTATTGTGGATGCCTTCAGAGTGCCCTCTCTAATCATTAAACCAAATTATGGCAATGAAAACACTTTTTTATGAGACCATAAGTTGCTGTTGTTTGATCAGTTATCATAACACAGTTTCAAAATTGAAATCATAAATAAACTATGGATGTTTTGCCCAGTAGTGAACTTTTCTCCTTCATATCCAGCAGCATTTCTTCTCCTGGTTTGTTTTGAAAGGTGGTCACCCAAACAACTAACATCATAACTGTTCCTTTAATAGTCTGTGCATCTCAATTAATTAGTAACATTGACTGTAAAACATAAGTTGTGCAATTTCCTAACTCGAATATTTACACAGTTGTGATTTAACTACCTTCAATGCTACAACAGCAGAACAGAATTCCTGAAAATCAGTTATGTCTTTTGGTTTTGGTTGGCCACCTTGATAACTTCAGTGGCCTCATTTTTTATTGTTACACACGTGGACAAAATTGTTGGTAGCCCTCAGTTAATGAAAGAAAAACCCACACAGGTCACAGAAATAACTTGAATCTGATAAAAGTAATAATAAAAATTCTATGAAAATTAACCAATGAAAATCAAACATTGCTTTTGAACCGTGGTTCAACAGAAATATTTAAAAAAATATACTCATGAAACAGGCCTGGACAAAAATTATGGTACCCCTAGAAAAGGCTGAAAATAATATGACCATAGGGACATGTTCAATCATTTGTGTCCTCTAATTAGCATCACAGGTGTCTACAAACTTGTAATCAGTCAGTCGGCCTATTTATAGGGTTACAAGTCGTCACTGTGCTGTTTGGTGACATGGTGTGTACCACACTAACCATGGATCAGAGGAAGCGAAGGAGAGAGTTGTCTCAGGAGATTAGAAAGAACATGATAGACCAGCATGTTAAAGGTAAAGGCTGTAAGACCATCTCCAAGCAGCTTGATGTTCCTGTGTCTACAGCTGCACATATTATTCAGAAATTTAAGATCCATGGGACTGTAGCCAACCTCCCTGGACGTGGCCGCAGGAGGAAAATTGATGACAAAGGGAGGAGACGGACAATACGAATGGTAACAAAAGAGCCCAGAACGACCTCTAAAGACATTAAAGGTGAACTCCAAGGTCAAGGTACATCAGATCGCACCATCCGTCATTGTTTGAGCCAAAGTGGACTTCATGGGAGACGACCAAGGAGGACATCATTGTTGAAAACAAATCATTAAAAAGCCAGACTGGAATTTGCCAAACTGCATGTTGACAAGCCACAAAGCTTCTGGGAGAATGTCCTCTGGACAGACGAGACAAAACTGGAACTTTTTGGCACATCAGCTCTATGTTCACAGACGCAAAAATGAAGCATATCAAGAAAAGAACGGTGTCCCTACTGTGAAACATGGAGGAGGTTCTGTTATGTTCTGGGGCTGCTTTGCTGCATCTGGCACAGGGTGTCTTGAATCTGTGCAGGGTCCAATGAAATCTCAAGACTATCAAGGTATTCTAGAGAGAAATGTGCTGCCCAGTGTCAGAAAGCTTGGTCTCAGTCGCAAGTCATAGGTCTTGCAACAGGATAATGAGCCAAACCACACAGCTAAAAGCACCCAAGAATGGCTCAGAGGAAAACACTGGACTATTCTGAAGTGGCCTTCTATGAGCCCTGATCTAAATCCTATAGAACATCTGTGGAAGGAGCTGAAACATGCCGTCTGGAGAAAGCACCCTTCAAACCTGAGACAACTGGAGCAGTCTACTCATGAGGAGTGGGCCAGAACACCTGCTGAGAGGTGCACAAGTCTCACTGACAGTTAAAGGAAGCATTTGATTGCAGTGATTGCCTCAAAAGGTTGTGCAACAAAATATTAAGTTAAGGGTACCATCATTTTTGTCCAGGCCTGTTTCACGAGTTTATTTTTTAAAATAATTCTGTTTAACCACGTTTCAAAAGCAATGTTTGATTTTCATTGTTTAATTTTCAGAGAATTTTTATTTATTATTACTTTTGTGAGATTCAAGTTATTTCTGGGACCGTTGTGGGTTTTTGTTTCATTAACTGAGGGGTACGAACAATGTGGTCCATGTGTGTATGTTTGTTGAGGACAGGTTCCACACTGTTGTCTGTCTGTGATTCCATGTTGTATTGTTTTGTTATTTGCAAATACGTCTCTCTTGAGAATGAGACCCCGTGTCTCAATAAGATCACCTGTATGAATAAAGGAAATACTAATAATAATGAATGAATAAAGAATGTTTCCCTGCAAAGGTCACAGTCCATTGCAGGGATAAAACAAAGAGACAGAAAATCATTCACGCTGACAGTGACACCTTCGGCAAATTAAGTCTTTTATAAATTTTACATCTTGCTTGTCTGACCAGAGCAGCATAAAACGTCTTTGGAATCACCCTCATGCATGAATCCTACGTCAATAAGTGCTTAATTTTATGCATGACCTACGATGACGAAAATAAGAGTAAAATAGAAACGTACAGCAATTGCAATTTCAATGTTTTAGAGAGCTCCAAAACATCTTAAATAATTAGGTTTTCAGGGGAGCTGGTTTCGCCATAGTTTGCACCCTGGTTCTAGCATAAATAGTTGCACTACCTAACAGTGTTTTCAGGTCTTTTGTCAGATGAGCATCCTGTTAAATTTTAAAAATCTTGACAGCTGCAAAAACAACAAAAAAGTGGGATTTAAATTCCAGGACGCACAAGCTACTGTTGCAGTTGTTACTTTAATCTGCTTATACTGTGTAATTTGTGTTGCTGGACCATTTTAGTGCTTCATTCTGTACCGTCTGCTAGCTCTGTTGCTAAAAACACAATTGATGCAATGTTCTGCCAGGCAAACAAGTACAACAACAAAAAATAAATAAAAAAAATTGTAACAAGAGTACACTGAAATCTGCTGAGCCTTGCAAAAGAAGCATCGTCCCATGGCAACGCACAAATAAGCCTCCCATCTCTGTAACTACGACATTACGCAGCCCAGCAGTCATGTACAATGCCTATTTTCTTCTCAGCTCTCTCCATTTATAATCAGTCTGTGAGAAATTGCTACTGGCAACTCAGAAAGCCATTCATGCCTTGACTTTGTCGACAGTCTCATCAAGCTGTAATTATGCAGCTTTCAGACATGTTTGGAGAAATTTAAAGTGGCAAATAGTAGAACAAGCATCTCCATGAATATGTCTGCAGGAAATGTGAAAAGCGAAGGTTACTCCAGACCACACTCCCTCATCTGGCTCTTATTATGTATGCTGCATCTGATCATGGGTTTGTCTCCCTGTCTCACTCACTCTGCTCCAGCTGCAGTGCTCAGCCTCTCTATTAAAAAACTAAAACACCATTAGGTCTGTAACTTGAGTTGAGAGTTGAACAGTGTCCTGACTGAGCAGTGATCCAGGAGTTAAAAGTAATCAGCACATTTTTTTTTCCAATAAAAACCAAACCAGTGCTCTGACACACAGCAGGCCGGGGCCTTGGACACGCAGCACTTGACACATATCACAGCATGTGCCAATGGGATGTCTATTTTGAGCAGGGACAAGTAAGGTTGCATCATATTCTACGTAGGCCCGTGCACATGGGTTTACCAAAGCCAGAAACCCAAATATGGTTCAGCAAGTGAAACTATTAGCACGGAATCTCAAGTAGGCACCTAAGCATTGCCTGATTTCCAATCTGAGTGCAGGTAACTTGGCACACCTGAGCCTTTAACCACACCTCTCCTCCGTTAACAACCTGCTTGACAGTTAGATTTAATAACCTGAACTTGCGTGTGGAGTGCACTGTGGATTCATACCGGCTGTCTCTGCCACCTCCATGCTGGCAACTGGATCAGAGGAACCTTTAGGGACAGAAAACAGAGCATGTCAAACTTTCATGTGTCTAAGGAAAGGAGGGTCACGCTTTACATCTTATTGGGAGTGGCAGTGTGCTATGAATGAGCTGCTACACTGCTATAACACATGTGTAACACTCAAGCCGACTTGTTGATTAGTTAGTGGCGATAACTGGCAGCGGCTGGACGGAGCACCGCGAGTTGCACACAGGAAAGCTAACTTAGCTAGATTAGCACACAAGCTAGCAAGTTAAGCTAACTTCCAGGCAGCTGTCCGCCGTTAACCCACCGTCTGAAGCCGGCATTTCCACGGTGCTGGCTTGAAGGAAGCTCGGCACGAACACCGGGGCGTTAACGTTGGGGACAAACGGCTTGGCGTTGACGTTAAGGGCGGCAAAGGCGGTCGGGAGCCCCGCCGCGGCAGCCGGGGCCTCGGCATCCTCCTCCAGCTCCCACGAATCCGGGGCTGTGTCTCTCGGGTCCATCGCTGCTTTTTCCAGAGTTGACAAGCTTTCCGCCGCCGCGCAGGGTGGATGGTTTTTGTGGTTCCGTCAAAAATCGTTTAGTTGCTGGTGTTTTAGACTCTATGCAGCAGGTTTAGAGAAGTTCCCATCGCTTTGTGAAGCCTTGCTTTGACAAGCATATGGATCCCGTAGCTGACGAGAGGTGGTCTACAGCAGCTGCACCGCCTGCACACGCCGCTAGAGGCCGCTGCAGGACCGCTGCTACCTGCACTCACATTAGGAGCTGAACACACTCATCAGCTCACACTACAAATTATAACCAACTAGTTGTTTATTTGAACATCCCTGAAACGTAGTGAACACCACCACTGAGCATATAAATACATGCTTAAAAACACACCACAATACAAGACTGTCAATGTAACTGTAACGACTTATATAGCATTAAGAAATAAATAAGTGAATTAAAAATACAACACATAAATTGGCAGGTTACTAGAGAACAGTATGAGCATTGTAAGTCTCATCTCTTCCTTTTGTCCGTCACTCTTTGGCGTCTGTAACTCCTCCACCAGAGATGGCAAAGGTGGCCTCGTTCTCAGGCATGTCAGGACTGCAGGAAATCACAAAGAGACGGACGAGTGGAGCAAATGTGTTGTCGAAGTCATCAAACTTCATCCCATTTGAGCTTTAAATGTTGACTTTGTTCAAAAGCTCGAGTCTATTTCATTGAAGTCTGATATCATGTCAGATTTAAATCCTCAAATTTCAATTCCTCCTGCTCGTTACTATATAATTCCAAATATTGTACATTAGCCAGAGATGATAGAATTATTTCATTAGTTTGAGTAACTTTTTAACAAAGTGCAAGTAAACTGCTGATTTGATTTATTTGCAGGTATCAGGTGCATAATGTAAGGCGAGAGCTAGGGCTGCAACTGATCATTAGTTTCACTGCTGATTAATCTGTGGATTGTTGTCTCGGTTATTCCGTGAGTTGTCTGGTTTATAAAATGTCAGAAAATGCTGAAAAATGTTGAAAACTGCATTCCTCGAAGCCCAAGGTGACATCTTCAAATGTCGTGTTCTGTCCATAACCCAAAGATATTTAGTTTACCCTCACAGAGGAAAAAAGAAACCAGGAAATAATCAGGTATGTGAAAATGGAATCAAAGAATTTCTGACTTTTTTTCTTAAAGTTTCAAAGAGTCAGTAAATTGGATGATAAATTTCAATATAAATATATACTGTAAGCAGACACCGTGACATAGTTATTATGAAAAGGAGGGTCTGGTGCAAGATTTTGGAGATGTATGTGTTATCTGGAAATGTGGTGTTGCCCTTTGGGGTTTTAAGTATTCACATTACAGTATTTTTCTCATCCACTGCAAACAATTTGGGGGTTCATTTAAGATTAGAGTGTTTTCCGACTTTCTGTTTGTTACTGAAAATAGTAGAACAATGTTTGGGAATAATTCCTTTCTGTAACACATGGGGAATGTGATTGCTTACGGAGTGACAACCACTCCCTGTTTAGGATGGCTACTGTATGTAACAAACCGTTTGCTTGATGATGGTCTAACGCAGTGACATCAAAATAAACATTACATATGTTTGCAAGGTACTTAAAGTGTGCAGTAAACAGAATATCTGTGGGTTGTGGACAAAGCAAGACATTTGAAAATGTCATCTTGAAATCTGGAAAACAAAGACCATTTTCTGACATCTTTCAGCTCAAGCATGTACGGAATTAATTGGGAAAATAGTCAACTGATTAATCAACAATGAAAATAATGGTTCCGTGCAGCCCTAACGCCAGCCCCTTCACTGTGCACTGTTTGCTTCCAAATTAATCAAATCTTCCCACGAAAGTTGAGTCTTAAGACACGCTGTTGTGTGATTTAAACATGTAAGCAAGTCCAAAATCAATCTGGATAAGAGTTTGATATTGAAAATAAAAGATACATGCAGGGTGTCGTATTACTTCAGGACACACAGCACGACATTTTAAGCTATGATTTGTAAAATGAGAGGGCAAAGTATGGAAAATCTCAGTGCCAGTTTGCGTACTCATATTCATCATACCATCACTTGCCACCCAGCCTCACTGACTATTGCCCAAGACTACGTTGAATTTTAAGAAAAACAACAATAAAGCATTCACTTGATTTGACCTGGAGACACTATGAATTCCATTTAAACTGCTAAATACCTGTCAAATATCTTAGCAATTCTCATCTCTCCACGTCCCTTCCTCAGGCTGATCCGTGTGGTGGAGGCGTGGGCCAGGATGTGCCCACCAATTGGCTTCTTGGGATCAGCCTGAAACCTGTAAAGTGTCAGATTTAGTTTTTTTTAATTTATCTCATCGATGTTTTATAGAATGTTTGTAGCACAAAACTCATCCTGTTTATTCTAAATGAGAGAGTTTGCATTCTCTTACGTCATTCCTGCTCCAGGATCAGCGGTCATTTGGTTGGTAATAAACACAGCAACATTGTACTCTAATGAAAACAGAAGTAAGTACCAATAGAATGTTATTATCACATACTGGCAAAATCCTAAAACATTTTAGGCAACATCACTTCTTTAATCTGTATGAATATAAAAGACCACGAAAAGACAAAAACCAGTACTTCACAACTAGCAACTTCTGCAGATATTCTCTGTATACACGAGAGTAAA